TATAATTTTAGAAATTAGATTAATTTTGGGGCAAAATGATACACATGATATTATCAAGCCTATGCACCTTAGTTTGACCACATAAGTCTTCTATACTTAACTTGTGATAAACCAAAATCAAGCTACTTGGAGCATACTATGTGATTTTTAGCTAAGTAAACTTCATTTGAATTTCATCTGATATATTAGCTTTTGACCTTCGAGCATTTGCTCAAAAAATGATTTTAATTTCTTGACTAACCTATGTATGCTATCTGATATCTATTTCTTTTTCTTTTAGACTTCATTAATCTTCTAAATTGGCTAGACTCAAATATTCTTTATATAGTTAAATGTTTATAATTTATGAGCCTCATTTATGATCCTCTTTTCAAAACCAAAGAATTTATATATGCATATCATTAAAATTGGCATCATGATTTTCTACAATTGATAAAAAGTTAAATTTTTTGTACTCGAGATAGGTTATTGTTCCCTAACTTGCATCTATTTCGAAAAACAATATATTTATTTTATAAATATTATAGTTATCCAGATAATAACATTTGCAGTTACCAATGAATTAACTATAATATTTTTTAAGAAGTAAAAAAAGGTTAAAACTGTTATATTGATATATACCAAAAGTGATGTTGGATACATGCATGTATTTAGAGGTAAGAATTAAATTAACTTTACAATCTAACGTGTTGGAGGTTATATTTTCATGTTTCTCATTTTTATCCCTTGCACACCAACATAAATTTATCATCATCAAATAAAGGAAGATTGCTGAGTAACCTACATAACTCAAGTGTGGCTCATTAGAAATTCGATAAAAAATTACTTCGTGCGGTGTCATCCAATGGTTTACTAAATAATAAATTATTAATATTGATTAGTAATAACTAAACAAGTGTTGATCATGCTCACTAGTCTAGCTTGGTGTAACTCAAGTTAAAAAGACTTCAAGTGTAAATGATGATTCCAAGATTGCCTTAGCATTGTAAATGATGATTCCAAGTTAATTCTCCTGAATCATAGGAAATTTTTTGATAATCTAATGGCCTTAATGAACCAGGAATTAGGTGATCTTGGGCTTGCTGAATTCTTCTCATCAAGATGCCCGATTTGACTATAGATACGTCAAATTTGGAGTTCATTTGATCCTTCAATTAACAACTCAAAGCCTCCAAAAGTGATTTAATGGCTTGATTTGGGCTTAATTAGAATCAGATTTGACCAATTTTGGTATGAATGGGTTCACCTTGTTGAGATGGTCAGTTTAACTATAAATTTGTTGAAAATGAAGCTTTGAATAATTTTAACTGAATTGGAACTTCTTATTTCTAAAACAGCACATCGAGATTCATGCTAAATGATAAATTTAGTGATGATGTATCAACAGTATTAATTACTAAGTAATTAGTTTACTGAAATTATAATTGTTGATTGACTATCTATTTAAATAATTGATTAATCATGAAGCATTTACCGAATGATTGATGATTATTTAAATTAGAATGTTATGTTAATTATAAGATCTTATTGTACGAAAGATTAAATTAATTTAAAAATTAAAATCAAAGTTGTCTTTTCTTACAATTAATTAGTTTAGTGAAATTATAATTGCTGATTAATTATCTTTTTAAATAATTTGTTCCTTATTAAGCATTTACTGATTAAATGATGATTATATAAATTATCATGTTAGGCAAATTACAAGATCTTATTGATACTTAGTATAAAATTAATTTTGAAATTTTAATCAAAATCCCCCAATCTTCTTTAAAATGAAACCCTCAACACCAGCAAAAAGGAAATTACAACTAAAGCTAACAAGTGAGGCAACGATAAATGTGGCGTCCAAAACACTCATTTTTCTCAAACGTACACCATTAATGACAAGGTGAAACTAGTGGCATTAGAGTTCGATGAAGAAGCGTCGGTGGGGGTAGTGAAGAATTCCTGAAACTTAAAGGATTAAGTTTATTCTAGCCAATGTAAGGATTTAGAAAATCCAGGATTTAAGGAAAAACAAAGGAGAAATTGGATTTAAAACTACCGGATTAGCCGTTTGGCAAAATTGAAGTTAAATCTAACTTAAATTTTGCCTAGAAACCATTACCAAATAAACTCTAGAAACCATTACCAAATAAACTCTAAATGTAAAGCTAGAGTTACCTTGCTATATTAGAAATATAAAATTGAAGCTATTACCGTTTAGAAGGATGGCAACAGTTCCTCAATTGGCTCAAGGAACAAAGGAGGAAGGGTATTGTTGTGCTTGGTGTAATTTTCATGTGAAGTGTTTGAAAGAGATTCTTAAAGTGCCATTTCCAACCAAATTCAATCCCAATCTTAGTGTGATTTTCAATATCTAAAAATATTAAGCTAACAAACAAGATTTTTACCTTATTTAAAGGAAAAAACAAACTCATGCCCAAGATAGCCCAAATTGATGCAAACTTAATCCCCTCCTTCCTTCAAAAGTTTGCCCCCCTATATGATATTTTGTGGTGCACCAATATAACAATGGTGTTGTCATGATGTGAGGTCAATATTCGGCTCATAAGAAGAACAATTATCATATTCTATAAACCTCTTTTATTATTAAACAATAATAGATTATGCTTCTTCTTTGATTATGTACGCATAAAAATAGTCTTTCAAATTTTGTTAAAATAATTTATTAACCCAAAAAACGGAATATTTCTCTTCCCTTTCAAAATTTCACTAGGTATCTCATATAGTTTGATGCTTTATCTTTATGCTTCATTTTCTAAGCCAATACAGCTTCTCCATTTTAGATCAAACTATATTATAATTCAATATTTTGTTCATAATTTTCTTAAAAAAAATTTCCTTAAAATTGAATATTATAATCTAATCAAATAACAATTGCATATTACATTGATGAATTCATGTTTAAATAAAGTCCTATTATCTATATATGACATAAATATGATTAAATTCTTTAGAACTTGAATCTTTATTCTTAGTTCTTCTATATACCCCCATTTCATATTACTTTGAAATTTCCTAAACCATCAAAAGTTGTAGCTTTTACTTTACTTGGGACCAATTTGTAATACTTTATTTTTCTTATATTATTACAAGGCTCTGTATTGTTTGTTTATGTTTCGTCATTCTTTTAACGGATATCCCGTTGGCTTAATTTTTTGTGTTCAAAACTTCAATAAGAAGTGTCTTTACATATTACCAATTTCAAAGCGAAAGTTCTTCAAGACTTTTTTGAATTTTTTAATGCACTTATCGTATATCAAAGTTGGCTAAAGTATAAAATTCTATTTTTTTCCTCTTTCAACAAGCTATCTTGATAGATAACTACTTCTCATGGATTATATTCATTATGTTGTGCAATTATTTATTTTGTACTACTTTTTTCTACTCTTATAAGATAAATGTTCAAGAACTACTCCAAGCTATGCAAGCATACTGTATATGGAATCATCTGACAAGCTTTGTAAAAAGTCTTTTTTAGCTACATAAGAAAATTTATTTCTGATTTGTTGCTTCTTTTTTTAAAATAACTAGTTTTACTCACATTTCTTAAAATACGTGTTCAATATTGCAAGATCTTATACACCAAAAAACTATAGTGCAATTTCTCCCATCAATTTGCATCTCTTTTTTTTATAAATTTTGTGGAACCATTCATAGATCAACTTGCTAGAATATATTTATCAATTTAAATCAACATTAATAATAACCCTCTTCCTTCATTACACAGTTTCTCCATCCATGTAAATTTAAAAATTAATTCTCAAACTAAATATTAATCTAATTTGAGGAGCATCAAAATTAGCCAAATCATATCCTCACAAATTTTTAACTAAATAGATACCACCTCAATATTAACCATCCTTAAGTAAACAATTCATCTTTTAAAACTATCAATTATCATCCTAATCCAAATGATACTAATAATATTTTCATCATTTGATAGCTTATAATAACTTTCCAAATTATCTTTGATTTTTCCCCCCATTTTCATTTAGCTTTAAACAAGAGATATTTGTTCTTTTTTAATAGTGCGCTCACAAGTTTCTTAGCCTCGCTATTCAAGGTGAACAAATCTAATCTTAATCTTAAAACAAGACAACCCTTCCCAACGTTTTGTCGCAATTATGAAAAGACATAATACTTCATTTACATGTGAAATATGAGAAAACATTTACCTAATTACCAACATATTCATGCTATTTTTTGGGCGGAATTGCATACCTATCACAGAATTTTTATGTATTTACATATCTAACACCTAAATCTTTATATTTACTGATGTGCCGCCTTAGTACCTCTATCAAATCAAAGCATATGCATGAAAAGAAATGTTTTATTTTAGATAAATTAATATTAGCGATAATTTTTATGTGATCTAGAGATTTGGAAGCTATGTACGTAAATACATAGATTTAGTTGTTAGATGTGTAACAACATACGAATTTAAATGATATGTCTGATTATCTCACCAATTTTTTCACATAGTTTATGAATGACGTCTCAGCAAACTATTATCTATTTCACACCACAATCAGGTTAGGCCTCATTTTTTCACGTACAGGGACACTTTTGAAACTATAAAAGATCAAATATGCATTCCTTCAAAAATTCAGAACAACTTCATAATTAGTAGCCAACAGGCCATGAAAGCCTGGATACTTTCCAACCAGGATTGAGACAGCAATAGATTATATGGCAGTAAGACTTCAAGTAAGAAAATCATTTTGTTGTATCACCATCTATGACCACTATCGATTATATGGTAGTAAAAACTAAATTAAGAACATTATTTTCTAGTATCACCATCTAAAACACAAAAAACAACAGTAGGCCCAAAATCAGGGTACGAGCAGAGAAGTGGAGTTAGCGCATCAAAAAGAAAAAAAATTCAAGACGAAAGACGAAACTCAAGAGAGAAGGCAATACGATTAACCAATGTACCTTCAATAAGAAAAATCGCAACATGACTATGGTTTAGAGTTTAAAACGCATACCTCCAGGAACATGGTTAAGCGATATCCCGGTACTGGAGAGCGCCTGAACGCTAATATTGATCAATTTGGTGTCCCCATAGGCTGAAATGGAGACCGGCCCCCGGTAATCCATAGCAACCAGAGCGGAGCTTATGTTCTTAGCGATGACATGCGCATCGAAGGCTTTCGGCACTTGGCAGTTCTCGATGTCCCACCATACGGAGGTTTTCGCTGTCGAGTAGACCCCGTCCGCCGTCCCACCGCCAACCCCAGCCACCTTTGAGCCACCTCCGCCGCCCATAACTGTGTTTGCCATGTCTAATTGATGGTCGCTGGCTCCACCGAACCAGGACGTCACGGTTCTTCCACCGTTCCCGCTCCGAGCGACGCCTTCCCAAGAAAACCTCGGTACATGCGGCCTCCAATAATTAAGTCGCCGGGTGTGCTAAATGCATAAGGAGTAAGTTATTCAGTTATATATTTTATTTCAATAATTTAAAATAATTTAAAAATAATTTTCAAGATTCAACTTCAATAATTTGGGAGGATGTTATTTCAGAGTTATTTTTGAGCTATTTCTAGGGCTGTCAAAAAAGCTCGTTGTTCACGAACAGTTCGTGTTCGGTTCGTCAATGAGTTCGTGTTCGATTCGTTCGATAAGTAAACGAGACAAACGTGAACAAATTTTTTTCGTTCGGTTAGTTAAACGAACCAAACACGAACAGTGATGCGTTCGTTCGTGTTCGAATCGTTATTGTTTGAAATATAAAATAATATAAAATAATTATATATAAAAAATTTATTATATTTTAAAACATTAAATTTTATAAATTATAATATATAATAAAATAATAATAATAATATATTAATATACTATAGTAGTAATATACTAATATAGATATTGTATATTTATATAATATAAGTTATATAATTAATATATAATATTATTTTTATATATTAATATTAGGGATGTCAAACTGGCTCGTCGTTCGCGAACAGGTCGTGTTCGGTTCGTGTTCGGCTCGTCGTTAAGAAACGAACATGAACTTATTTCAAACAAACTAAATTTTAAACGAACCGAACACGAACACAAACTTTGTTCGTTCGTGTTCGGTTTGTTTACACCCCTAGCTATTTCTGAGTTATTGAAATAAAATATATAAATTTGTCTTCAATAACTCAAAAAACTCAAACTAACCCTATGATGTTATTTCGGAGAGGTTATTTCTAGGTTAATAAAGTGAAACTTTGAATGTTATTTTGGGTTTATTTCAAGGTTATTTCGGGGTTATTGCGAAGTCCGCAGTTTCGCTTTAATATTTTATAGGTCGGCGTAATATGACACAAATTACAGTATATTACTGGGAGTCCGCATGTAGAGTTACGTTCAGAGTCCGACAGAAATTTCTTCTAGATTTTAGTGATAATTTACATTGCTTTTCACATAACTAATACCCTAATAATTTTTGGACTCCAAATCAAAATAAATTTACAAAATCATTGAGAATTTGATAGACATATTATTAAAAATTTATCCTGAATTTTAATATTAGAGTGAAGATTTAAAAAATAGATGGAATAGAAGGAAAAATTTGTAAATAGCAATGTTTCAGTGTTATATATGTAAATTCCCTTAGATTTTATAAATTAAAGACCTAAACTTTAAATTTTATATCCATAGCATTTACGGTGTAAACTAGCCCAACATGAAAGTGAGAACTTATTCGTATTTGACTCATTCGAAATATTTTTATGTTCGAAATGAGCTCGTGTTTGAAATGACTTGAAATAACTTTATTCACATCCAGCTCGATTTAAATTTAAATTTATTCATATTAGTTCGTTCAACTCGATTTTGAGCTACACAAACTTACATATATTTATTCATCTCAACCATTTAGCTCGTAATATAATTTTTGTTTTTAAATATTTACTAAGAAGATTGAAAAATTAAATAGTACAGAATACTTATGACCATGAGGTCATTTGCAGGCATACCACTAATTCTTATGTATTTACATCTGCAGAAAAAATAAGGGGTTCTATATTTTGGGAAAAATCATCGGATATTTACATGCAACCCCCCAACTCTTATGTATTTGTAATTCTTAAATCAAAGAAAAGAGATTCCTTAAGAACATTTACATACACACCAATCAAAACATATTTATTTACATATCTAACACCTTGTTGAATCCAAATTTGTCTTGCAAGGAAAGAGAAAAAAAGAGAGATAGTGCACAATAATGAATACTTGTTGAATCTAAATTTGTCTTGCAAGGAAAGAGAGAGAAAAAAAGAGAGATAGTGCACAATAATGAATAACATAATGAGGAAATTTAGATTAATTCTATGATTAGACTTTACTATAGAAATGACCCTCTATTTATATGAGAGAGTGTACCGTGTGCATAATTACATGGTTATCCCTACTTTAATGGGGGTGTTACAAGTTATTTTGCAGGGCAAGCAACAGTTCTCCATTTGGCGTAGAGGTAATATAATCCGTTCTTTAACATTTCCAATTCACTTGGATTAATGATCTTAGCGCATATTGCTTTTAAAAATCTTGATATTTCCACTATAATGCTTATTACTTTATCTAAATGTGCATAACATGATATGTCCTAAAGCATGTTTAATCTCCTTAGTCTTTTATGTTTATTTTTGATGAAAATGCAATTTAAAGGAAGGTATTCTTATGTTTTTTTTTTTGTGCAGATATAACAGGTGGAATACTTGGAGCGAAATAGGATGAAAAAGGAGCGAAAAGGAGTTGAACGAAGCAAATTGGGAGTTTGCACAACTGGTGCCTAGGGGATAGATTATGGGCGCCAAGGCGTTCCATTTAAAGACACTGGTTAGGCACTAGTTCTCCACGTACCAAATCAAGAAGGCAACACTTAGGAGCCAGTTCTGGGAGCCAAGGCACGACAATTTTTCTGCAGTTGCTCAACCGCAAATTTGGAGTTACTTTGGCAGTTTTAAGCTGTTCCGTTGAGGATTTGATACAGGGGGGGCAGAGGAGAAACATGATACACAAAAAATATATGCATTTTTAGACCCATTTTTTATATTTATTTTTTGTGATATTACACTTTAATGGATGATATTTTTATGTTTTCTTGCAAGTTGTTAAATTTTAGGACTTGAAGCAAAAAGGAAGAAATTTGGAGCAAAAATGAAGAAGTTGAAAAATTGTTCAGCGCGAGAAGCAGCACCGACGACGCCGTTTGACAGAGAGCAGTAAATTAAATTGAAGAACACTGGTGTCGACAACGCCAGAATGGGTGTCAACGACGCCACTGTCAGTTCAGCCCCTGTTTCTAGAAGATTTAACGAATTTGGACACTTTTTGAAGAGTTTTTGTAGTCACCTATTGAAGAACTGATTCTAGGCTTTATTTGGGGCTAAAATTGATTAGACAAGTGACTCTTCCTGACATCTCATCGCCCTAATTCAACCTTCTATGCATCACACATTATTTCATTTTTCATTCCACAACCATTTAGAGCCCATTGTTCTTATAGAGTTTTCTGGTGAGATTAAGTGTGAACTCTTCTCTAAGAGTGTTGGAGAAGGAGAAAAGTGAGAGATTTCTTCTTCCTTCATTTCCTAGAAGAGGCCACAAGGGATTTGCTTTGAGAAAGAGTTTCAGATAAGTGTTGTCTGTTTATTAGTATGAACTTTACTTTCTTTTATATATGAAATTTGTGTTTTGTTGTATCTTTCTCATGAAGTTTGAGTAGTTTACTTTATCTTTCTCCCTACTCTGAGATATGGTGAAATGAAGAGATGATATGGATGTACTAATATTAAAATATAAAATAAATTGTGATGATTTTTCAACTCCGAACTTAATTTACTTTTTGATCTGACCAATTAAATTGTTAAAATATGTTGTGACATATGATCCGGGAAATGGAGTGTGAGTTCTACAACAGAGTAAGGATCACATTCGATTCCATGAAGGGGAATTTCATTCATAGAATTAAGTGTAAATAAATAGGAAAATATAATTTATTGGGTGTAGAATTAAAGAATCTTTAGGGTGACAGACTAGTGTTTAAAAACTAATGCGAGAGTTAGCCTTCAGGTGAAGGGAAGTGTGAGCTCTGGAGTGGGAGCTAGTATCCTCCTAGCCTAGTCACAGATTTAGGGACTAAACCTGGGATTAACCAATAATTTTCTATAGCAATGTATCAGGGTAAAGAATTAAAACTGCTCCTCTTTGGCATAATACATATTAAAATTATTTATCTCATCTCATTTTACCAAAATTTCATTGTAGTTGGAAAGATGTTTTTTCACATAAGAATCTTCGTCACATAAACATAATTTAATAGTTTAGTAGTTACA